GCTCAAGTAGAAAGCAAGTGTTTTGGGAATGATAATAGCAACAAATGTGCTTGACACAATGGATGGATGTATGGATTGTGATAAGATTTATACGAGCCCCCAATAAAATGGTTTTTAAAAATAAATAAAATGTCCTCTGCAATGGAAACATACAATTTTATTAAATAAATATGATTTTTTATGAGTTAAACCAGCAGTTCTCAACCTGTGGGTTGCGACCCCTTTGGGGTCACCCAATTCATAAGAGTAGCAAAATTACAGTTATGAAGTAGCAACAAAAATAATTTTATGTTTGGGGAGGTCATTAGGAAGGTTAAGAACCACTGTTAAACAATAAATTGAATAGGGTTTCATGTAAATAGACTTTTAATATGCCCTAAACGTTTAAAATCCAACCAAAATTGGCTCATGTCTATGTAAATTCATTTATTCAGCAAATGCTATTAAGTAACTGCTCTGTGGAAGATACTATTACAGGGTCATCTGGGGTACTGTTGTGAACAAGCCAGCAAAGGTGCTCATTCTTGGGACATTTACATCTCAATGGAGAAACAAGCTTTAAATAAGTAAGCAAGATGGCCCTGCACAATCCTCATAATTGTTAAGGTGGTGCCCATTGTCTGTAGAATGGTAATAATGTAATAAGCTAGGCTAAGGAATGTGATTTTTTTCTAAACAAATTTAATTGGAAAACAAATTGTTGAAAGCCAAGGGAGGAAGCAGATGAGGTAGACAGTGGCTACACATTTTGAGAGACTTTTTTGCTGGACGGACAGTGAGCATTGGAAGTGAAGAGACTGGGATTGATATGAGTGGGATCTACATTAGAAGGGAGAGCTGTCAGACCTGGCTGCTGAAAGAGATGGTGATGGAAAGGGAAGAAATCAATGATCGTGTATTATCCATGCTGTTTTGGCCTGACAGTGGTCAAGGTTTTGATCCTAAAGCCTAAAATAGGAGTACCAAAAACAAACAAACAAACAAACAAAAAAAAACCCAACCATATTCCACATGCACCTCATACCCCAATCTATGCATTTAATTATTATTTTTTTTAACGAAACAGCCTTATCACCTCCAAAGTACTCTCCATTAAACTTAATACATTTGTCAAATCTGCGATTCCATTCTTGGAAAGGCTTTCAAACTCATCTGTTTGGATGGCTGACAGCACCTTCGTTTTTTTTCTAAGTCATCAAATCACTGTCCTCTCATGTCCCTCTTCATTCTCGAAAACAAAAAAGAAGTCACACAGAAGTTCGTGGGGCAAGAGAAGCATGCTGATTTTTGCCAACTACTGGCTGTGCAAGCAGGTGCATTGTCGTGGTAGCAAAACCTGTCCCCCATTTGCCACAAATCAGGCTTCGCAGTCTTTTCAGAACCTCTAAGTAGAAAGCTTCATTAACAGTCTGACCTGTAGAGCAAACTCCAAATGCACTGTCCCCCTCACTTCCAAAAAACAAATGAGCATGGTCGTGACCTTTGATTTCACTTGAGCGTTTTTTTGGGTCTTCAGCTTGATTGTTGTTTGCTTTCAGGGTTGTAAGAATAGCACCGTGGCTTCTCAACAGTAATGACCTTGGGAAAAAGTCTGGGTCACTTCAGAGCTGTTCTTTCAAAGCACGGCATGTTTCCACTCTCGCTCTTTTTCCTGGTCAGTCAGAATCTGAGGCACAAATTCCAGTGACCCTTCTCATTCCCAAATCTTTCGTTAAAATTTGCTGAACTGAGCTCCAGGACAGTTCAGATAACTTCCCCATATTGTCATCAGTCTTAGAGCACAAGTGCATGAATTTTGTCGACATTTTTGTCTGTACAGGAAATTGACATACATCCAAAATGAACTTTGTCATCAATCAACATGTCACCTTTTTTGAAATGAAAAAACCACTTGTACACGGTGCTGTGCTTGTGACCTATGTTCAACATCACAACAGTTTCTGCAGCATTTTTCCTGACCAGGAAACAAAATTTCACAGCCGTACACTGTTCTCTTAAATTGGCTATCACAAAAATCAAGATTCGATCAAAACTGCTTTTACGAAAAAATTGATTGTGACCACAGAGAACCTTCCCAGGCGACGTCACTGGGTGCCCTAACTCAGAGCAAGTTGCTCGGTGCTCACTTAGCGGGGAAAAATGTGTACTATGAAAGCTGTGCCCAGCGGAGCTTTTTCCCGGGTTTTATTGGTATTGGTTTTAACTTTATAGAACATGTTTATTGACCACTGGTAGAGAGCGTGGCTTTTTAAATGATTAACAAAACTGAAGAATGAATACGTGGCTTGGGTTTTTGTTTTTGTTTTTTTGCTGGGTGATAAAATCATGGGGGAATTAGAACTTCTCTTTGGGTATATTAAACTTGAGATGCGAACATACCCTTTTGTAATCTAAGAAGAGATTATAAATAAGCAACTAGAAGACCTGTTTGAAATTCAGAGGAGATAAACTTGAGGACCAGATGGATGGTGTTTAAGAAGGGCATGAGTGAAGGATGAACAAGAGAAAATTACACACAGTAAAAAATCTAGAGCCTAGTCCTGGTGCATCCCTTGAGTTAAGCCGTGGTTAGAAGTACAGCCAACAAATGACCAAAGGCCAGTGAGGGAAGACAAAACCCAGTAGCAAAAGGATGGCAGTATTTCACCCAGAACGTAGGAGTTGTCAATGATCAAATGCATCAGCAACTGCAATGAAATGTTGGCTGCAAAAGGAGCCCTGGTAGTGCAGCGTGTTAGGCGTTGGGTTGGTGGTGTAAACCCACCCGTGACTCCAAAGAGAGAGCAGTGAGGTCGTCTGCATCCATCGAGATTTACAGTCTGGAAACCCTGTGGGGCGACTCTAGCCTGTCTTAGAGGTTGCTGTGAGTGGGCAATGGGTTTGCTTTTGGTTGTTGGGTTCAAAATCCCAAGAGGAGAGTAAGTGGTACAAGAGAGTCAGAAATGAGAAAAGGGAGAAAATGATTGTAAACATCTCTTTAGGTAAATTTTGTTATCAGTGGTAGAATAAATATACCTTGTTAAATATATGTTTATATCAATAATACAAAGGGGGGAGGTATTTTTTAAGGTGAGAGATCCTAAAGCTTGTTGTCTGCTAATAGAAATGTTTCACTAAAGTGTAAACGATACAGGGGCAGAAACAAGGGATTGTAACTTGGGAGGCTTGGAAGGAGGCTCACTGCACAAGTGGAACACCTGGCTTCCAGTGTATGAAGAGAGACCATGAGGGGAAAGTAGGGTATGAACATGATTGAGACAGAGGTTGCTTGTTTGCTCACTGAAGGAAGAGGTGAGGTCATGATCATGAGAATGGGTGATAGAGTTTTGAGGTGAGGAAGAGGAAATGAAATTGAGTCATTTGGGGGGGGGGGAAATACAGGACAGTAAGATTACTAGGAAGTATGATAATAAAAAAATAAATATTAAATTTTCATAATGATGGTCTTACTGTTTAGTAAAAGCAAAGTGTCCAATACCTGTCTCAATATCTTTTCAGACCAAGTGAGAACATGCTGATTCGTGTCAACAATGATGGCACTTACTGTGCAAACTGGACCCCCGGAGCGATTGGACTTTACACCATTCATGTGACCATTGACGGCATTGAAATAGGTATAGGAGTCATTTGGTATGAAGAACTAGAATCAAAGTCAGCTTTGACATTTAACTCTGTCATAGATACAGACATGTTTCAAATCTTAGCCTTTCTCAGGTCTTAAAAATTTCATAATTAGTATGGGGTCAGCTCTGTGATTCCTCCTGAGTTCTCTGAGGAATCTCCTTTGTGTTCTGTGTTGCTCTGTGCACACCTGGTTACCCTTCAGGATAGACCTGTCTTCTGGACGTGAGCAGAGAGCATCGCGTGCTTCTCAGGGTCTTCCAGTCTAGCTCTGCATCTGTCACAGAGAGAATGGTTGTTCAGTAAATACATGTGAATCAATGACTTTTCTTAATTCACTGCTAACTTTCAAAACAACATTGCTTTTACTTTGAGCATCAGTCTTTTTCTTTTCTGATCGATGAACTTGGACAATAAAGAGAAGACTCTACATAATTGTTTATCAATGTATATATTTTTTAACACTTAACTTTCCAGATGCTCAAGGAAAAAGGTTCCAATAATCAAAACCTAGTATGTGGTTTTCCTACCTTAGATATTTGTACTGTGACACAGAAACTAAGAATCTTGGCTACCTTTTTTTAACCCTTACAATGGAAACCTGTAGGTACCTTTTAGGTACCTGTAGAATGAGATAGGGTAGAAAGAGAACACGTATGAATACTCTATCAAAATACCCTTTGGGTACTATATTTTGGTAATGTTTTTGTAGTAAAAGTAAAGAAGTGTTTTATGTTTATGTAACCATATTAAATACACGTTAACATTGCTATGTAGAAATTAAATGTTGCAAAGGCATGAAAATAAATAAGATGGCAAGACTAACCAGAGCAACTGTACCAAAAAGAATTGGTTGATGTTCAGCCGTTATAAGAGGCAACTTATGAATCAAAAACTGCTGTTAAAGAAGGAAGAAGTTCAAGCTGCACCAAAGGCACTGTGGAAAAACAAGGCCCCAGGAATTGACATCCTATCCACTGAGATGTGTCAACCACTGGCTGCCACATTGGAAGCATTACCTGGCCAACCAGCTGGAGAAGATCCATACTAGTGCCCATTCCAAAGAAAGGCAATAGAATGGAAGGTGGAAATTATCAATGCCATTACTATCTCATGTGAGCTGTATTGTGCCGGGGATTATTAAAAAATGACTGCCTCCATTCATCAATAGGGAAATGCTAAGAGTTCAAGCCAGTCTCAGAAGAAAACAGGGAAAGAGTAATATTGCTGATGTCAGATGGTTACAGGCCAGAACCAGAGAATACCAGGAGTTTATCTGCATTACTGACTACTTGAAGGCATTTATTTGATTGTTTAAGCCATAGGTTCCTAAACTTATTTGGCCTATCACCCCCTTTTCAGGAAAAAAAAGTTTGCGTGGCATTGCCCTGACAAAAACTTGTATACTATATCCGATAATCCAAGATAAAGTATATAGGTTTCTGCATTTGCAGACTCCCTGGATTGGCCCAGCAGAGTCTTCCCAGAAAGCCAGGGCGCGGGGTGTTGCAGTATTGCCCACTTTGGGAAACACTGGTTTAGATCATAAGAAATTATTTGACAGCATGAAAAATGGGAATTCTGTGACACTTACTATACTAATGATATAATGGATCAAGAGGCAGCCAGTTACTCAACAGAATATTTATTGCCTGGCACAAAATTTGAAAAGATAGGCGCAGGATTATATCTTTTCTCCATATTCATTCAAACACTTTGCCAAACAGATAAGTTATGAAGCTGAGCTATATGAAGGTGACACAAGCTGGCTTAGTAGAGCCAGTATCACTTGAAGCTCTTACTGATACAGGCAGCTAACTACAGCCATGAGTACAGGTTAGACCTGAGTGTGTACAAAATGAAACTCATACCTGGACCAATAAGCAGCATAAAATATGGAGAAAAAATGAAGTTGTCAAAGATTTCATTTTCTTTGCATTGCCAATAAACGTTTTAAAAACACCAGTGTGGAGCAGCAATTAAAAATTATATGTCATATTGCATGAGAAGACCTGCTACCAAAAAACCAGAAACCTTTGAATATCTGAAGAGTGAACCTCACAAAGCCCCTTTTTTTTTTATTATATCTTGGTTCATTTTTATTATCTCTTGGTTTATCATTCAATTTTTTTCCAAAAAGACAATAAATACTTATATAGGCATTTGTATTATCTTTTCTTCTTACACAAAAGTCATAGAATATTAATTTCTCTGCACTTTCAATATTTCCTCTTAACAGTAATGCCAACTATTATCCATATCAATATATAGAAATGTTCTTTTCTTTTTTACATCTACATAGTAGTACATTGTACCCACATACTATATTTCATCTAATCAACTAAAACCAAGACAAACCCCACAGCTGTTCAGTTGATTTGACTCATAGGGACCCAGTAGGAAAGAGTAAATCGGTGCCTTATAGTTTCTTTTTTTTTTTTAACATTTTATTAGGGGCTCATACAACTGTTATCGCAATCCATACACACATCAATTGTGTAAAGCGCATTTGTACATCGTTTCTCAAAAGCTCACAAAGCCCTTTGAGGACCAAGATGTTCTTGACTCAAACCCTGGTATTTTCAGCCCCTCACATATATCCAGAAACTGGACAGTGCCTCAGGAAGACAGGAGAATAGCTGATGCATGTGAATTGTGGTATTTATAAAATATACTGGGGCTTCAAAAAAGTTGGTAGGAAATTCTATTATCTTTTAATTGCATTTTCCTTGAACTTTGTGAAGATCCTTTGTATTGCATGTACATGAACTGCCAGCAGCGCAACTAAATCAGTCTTGGAAGAACTACAGCCAGACTGTTCCAGGGGAGCAAGAAGGGACAAGCTTGTTTTGAACCCATCATCAGAAACAGCCAATTCTTTTAAAAGAGTGCATTGTGTTTTGTATTAAGGAAAGGGGTCAGCATAAACAAAGGTGACCGCAGTGAAGTGAATTGGCACAACAGTGGACTCAACACAGCCAAGATCATGGGGATGCACAGAGGCAGGCAGCATTGTGTTCCGTCATGCACAGGGTTACCTGGTCATGTGTTCTTGTCATGCACAGCAGCTAAAGCACATGGCTGCTAAACATCACAGCAGTCGAGTTGACTCAGCTCAGAAAGCTTTTAATTTAGTTCAGCAAGCGTTTTTGGGTTATGTGCCAAGCATTGTTTTATGTAAGACAATTCCTGTCCTCCAGGATTAACAGTTTACTGAGTGTTGTAGGGGTCCAACAGACCGAAGGGACATCAAAAGATAGCAGAATGTGAGTAGCAAAGCACAAGAGGGACATCTTACCGACAGAATCCGAAAATTGAGCAGACGCATCCAGAATGGCTTTATAGTCCCCCACCACACACCCCTTCCAAAAACACCGGTCAAATTTCAGGGGGCATAGAGAGGGCAGCATCTTTAATAGTGTGGTGAAGGAAAATGATAGCATCCATAAGGAAAATCAACTTTATATTTGCTTTGTTAGACTGAGGCTAAAGAAAGGCATTTACATTTCCTCGTACACATCTATTTTCTTCCTTACATTCCTCACTCGGCTCTCTCCCAAGGGGACCAAGCTGTTAGTGTCATACCAAAGTACATGATAATATTGATGATTTATTCAAGTGCCCTTTGGGATCACATTGGGCTGCTAATCAGAAGGTCAGTGTGTGAGCCCACTAGCCCTTCTGAAGGAGAACAAATCAGTTTTTACAGATCACAGCCTTAGAAACCATCTGGAGCTGTCTTCTCCCTTCTGTAGCATCTGTATAGGTGTCTTCTCCCTTCTGTAGCATCTGTATAGGCAGATTCATCTTGACGGCAGCAAGTTTGGGTTTGCTTTGTTTTTTTTAAACATTGAACACTTGATATATGTGGAGCACTGGTGGCTCTTTCAGGTAAACGTTGAATTGCTACCCTCAAGGTCAGTGGTTCAAGCCCACCAGAAGCTAAGTAGGAGAAAGATGATTTGCAAAGTCTTTGTAGGGTCATTAGGAGCGCTGGTGGCATAGTGGTTATATGTTGGGCTGTGACCCACAAGGCCAGTAATTCAAAACTACCAGGAAGCGGCCCTGAAACTCAACAGGGGCAGTTCACCCTAATCCTGTAAGGTCGCCATACATCAGAATGGACATGATGGTAATGAATTCCTTAATATATGTCTACTATTGTTCTCTGCTGACCTGGTGTGTTTAATTCACACTACAGCCCAATGAGGTAGTCCGATTAATGTTCCCATTTCATAGATGAGAAATTGACGGTGCTGAGGTTTGAACCTGTAGTGCAGAGGTGGGATAAACCTAGGTTAACGTAAAAAACCCATCTCTTAACCACCGTGCTATGATGCAGCCTGGTCATAGAGATGTTTGATGTGGCCGATGAGCAAGTGGTCTGATCTGAGGCTATTGGGTGACACTTACATCACAGAGGGGCTTTTTATTACCATTCATAAGGTTATATTTGCAGCCCCAGGGCCTCCTCAACTATTTCTCATTTTTAGCCTATTAAATTTCAATCAACATGTAAATAACAGAATTAATACATTTGTTTCAATCGCTAAAAGCAGACAATGTAAGATCAAGTTAACGAAATCCCCACGTTTTTTTCAAATGCTACAGCTCTTTCCTTTTCCTCACAGATGCTGGCCTAGAAGTAAAAGTCAAAGACCCCCCAAAAGGCATGATACCACCTGGAACCCAGCTGGTCAAACCAAAGACTGAACCTCAACCAAATAAGGTTAGTGTGGGAGGAATTCAGAACAGAGAGCTTTGAAGAATCGTTTAAAGAGGAAAGAGCTTTGTGGATGTTTCGAGAAATCTACAAGCACTGAATATGTTTCCTGATTTCAGACTTTGAATCCTAAATATCCCTAAGAAAGTGTGGAGTGTAATAATTGCTTAATTACACAACCTCCCTGGCTTATTTGCATAATGTTGTGTTTCATGAGTGTTCTATAGCCTGTTGAGTTTTTTTTTAATCTAAATTTTTTTGTATTATTTTTTAATTTGTGCAGTACATAGGGGCATTTTTTAAAAACCTCTACTTTGTACTTGAGTATAAAGTTTACAAGTTTAGAATATCTTGTGCTATTGAAAAAAAAGCTAATTACCCAACATCTAAATAGTAAGTATAGGAAATTTGGTAAACTGATTTTTTTTTAAAAAAAACATAGCAAATGGAATCTGTATACCATTTGAAAAGTTATTTACTCTTCTTCTCTTGAGAGTTTGAAAGAAAAAATAATCTAATTTTGGGGGGGTTTTGTTTTGAATAAAGCAGTGTCAATGCTTAGAAAACTTCTGTCATTGTTATGAATAAACCACTGTTATTTGAAGAGAGAAACCAGCTGCAGATGATTTTGAGAAAGTTTCTCAAAAGTAGTATTTAGATCTGCTTAGTTTGACTTTGCCTTAGAAGACGAGCTCGCTCTGCATTTGCCTGTTCTGAACCACTGTTGGTCTTCGATTTTTTCAGGTGCGGAAATTTGTGGCCAAGGACAGTGCAGGGCTCCGTATCCGTAGCCACCCCTCCCTTCAAAGTGAACAGGTTGGCATAGTTAAAGTCAATGGGACTATCACTTTCATTGATGAGGTAATTTACTAAGAAGCTTTCAATAATTCTAGAAATAAACTTTTGAACTGTTGTAAGTTATAAGACTACCAGATTCTCTCTTTTTAAGCCATTTTAGAAATTTGAGGGGGAAAACATATATTGAGGGAGGCTTTTTGGCACAGCATCTAAATCACTTGGCTGCTAGCAATAACGCTGGCAGTTCAGACCCAAGATGTGCAGCCTCAGAAACCCAAGAGGGGCGTTCCACTCTCTCCTCCAGGGTTGCCATGAGTTAGAAGCCATTCAAAGGCAAGAGGTTTGGGATTGGGGGGTGGGGGGTGGGGGGTGTTGGTAAAGTATCTTCATTATCAAATATTTTTATTTTTAAAAGTAAAAATAATCATCATATTTTACACATGAAATAAACACATGCTTAGTAGTCAGAACTTGCGCAGGGACTCACTGGAAATGGGTGCTGTTTTTAAATTATATGTTTCAAATGTTAAAAGTTACTTTAACTTTGGACAGTACACCTTTCTAGTAATACCACCCAGTAATAGCTGATTATTAAAACACAGACTACAGGGCAGGAAGACACTTTGTGCTTCTTTCAGGAAGGCGCGAGCAGACTTTACTTTTCAGCTATTTATCTTAACATGTGATTCCTTTGTGCTTTCACTCATAAATGATTTCTTTATTTTAACTCTGTTTGTACATCCTACAATCGTACCATGTGAGTTATCATACTGCTTTGGCATCTCCTGCTTTTTTCCTTAAAGGTGCTCTCAAAATTTTGCAAAAACCAGATGCTTAACCTCCATGCCCACCATGACATGCCTGCTTTGCAGCTTATCCGCCCTTGCTAGCCTCATAGGAGTTACAGGAGGGCATGGCTTGTTTTTGTTGCTTATTTCCCATAGATCCACAATGATGATGGTGTGTGGCTGAGACTGAATGATGAGACAATAAAGAAGTATGTTCCTAACATGAATGGTTACACTGAAGCCTGGTGCCTCTCTTTTAATCAACACCTTGGCAAGAGCCTTCTGGTCCCTGTTGACGTAAGTAACGGGTGGTTTTCAAAAGCATTATAGGTACACTGTCTGCATTCCAGGGCTTTCTTTAAGACAGGCTTTGCAGTTCTGAGGTACACTGCAGCTAAATAACTTCACGTGCCAGGTTGCTGGTCTGCTAGGGCTTCTGTGTGATGGTAGTGCAGTTGAGAGGCTGTGGGGTTTCTTCAAGCTTGTTATTATTCATAGACCAGGGCGACTGTGAATTCTGCTTTTCACAGAATTAGGGCATGATAGCTGCCGCTTTTTTAAAATTCCCCTTTCTTGTTCACTCTGTTGTTGGGAAGAAATCCTGATCAAGGTTCATGAATTGAAAATTACTCTCCATTCAAAAACATAGAGCATGCTTGCTTTTTATGTTGGCATTTTGTAATTATGAGGGAGGCTTTAAAACGCTTGTAGAAAATTGAAGTAAGAGATAATGGAATTTTCCTACTAGCTTTTTAAAGCCCCTTCATAGCTCTGTGTTGTCTTAGTTTTATTCTTCTCTTTTTTGGTTTGTAAGATTCTTGTGTTGAAATATGATGGATTTTGAGGCTTACAGTGCTGTTAGTGGTTTGAAACGGCATCTTAGAATCTGACTAAATTAATTGAACCTCTTTGACAAAGGCAGTTAGAGCTGATGCCATTAAATATGATCATATAGGAACCCACACTTCTTTTTATAAGTTAGCCTGAGAAGTAGTATTTTACTTCTTTTTCATCACCATCAAAAATTCGATCTTCTTAGGACACTGCTAATAGTACTGCTACAGTTTTTTTATTTTTTTAAAAAGCAACTCCTAAAAATCGATTTCCAAAAGGAGATTGTTTTTAAGCAAACCATTTAAGATACTGTGTTTTTTCCATCTATATCCCAGAGTAATGTTCTCCAAAGGAACAGGTACATAGATAATTCTTTTGGAAGAAAATGTTAGATGGAACTTAATTTTATCACTCATTCTTTTTTTTTTT